CGCTGCGTCGAATGGCTCGGCAACAATTGCTGCTCGAAGATTGCGATGTAAAGCTCGTAGTTCGCGCAGTGAAGGGCGTATTTCCTGCATATGTGAGCGTAGCAGCGGCCGCAATGCCTCACGCCTGGGTTCGGGTAACGTTCGTACCCAGCGTGGATAGTGACGCGTTGGATCGCCACCCACTTCAGGCATGGCGCGCTTGCCAACGATAAAGCCAATCAGCAAAAGATTAAGCACCACTGAGGTGATGAGCAGTGCGGCGATCCATTTAGATTTCATTGCTGTCGTACTCCAGTAGCGTGTCAGCAAATACCAGGCTTTCACTTTCTGCCCAGCTTTCATCCTGCTCCACACGGTTACCTAACCCCAGCGCAAAACCCAGCGCCAGCGGCAGAATCAACGCCGTTGCACCTCGCCACACGGAACGCAGCAGCCAGGTTCTGATGAATTCAAACGCATTCGGTGCTGGCAGGTTGGCCACAATGCGCCCGGCAAGATAGCTTGGCGCCGTGGGGTGCTGTGCGGCCAGATCGGCAAGGGCGGCATCTAATTCAGTGTCATTCATGGAGGCTAATTCCGTCATCAGTTGATTCTGTCTGTTTCTCTGTTGCTTGTATCTGTTGTTCCTGACCACGTAGAGTCCGTCGAGCACGTGCCAGTAAAGATTCTACCGCGTGCACTGAAATACCCAGGATGTGGCTGATGTCTTTGTTTCCAAACCCCTGGAAGTGGCGCAGTGCCAGTGCAGCTCTCTGCTCGCTGGGGAGCTGATTGACCATCTGATTCAACGCCGTCAAACGCTCTTCGAGCGCAATACTGTCACCGGGGCTGTCACTGGCCAGGGCGGCATCAATTGCTTCAGAGTCGGATACCTCGGTCTTCTTACGCGCTCCGTCGATAAATCTGTTGTGTAAAATCCGATGTAGCCATGTTGTTAGTTTGGCTTTTGCCGGGTCGAAGCTGGTTGCATGGGTCCATGCTGATAGCCAGGATTCCTGCACAAGATCTTCAGCGTTGGCGGGCGATTTGCTGAGGCGCAACGCATAGCTGTACAGTGCATCAACATGACGATGAACAAGCTGCGCAAACGCAGCTTGATCACCTTGTTTGACTTTCGCCATAAGAATTTCGTCTGAAGGCGAGGTCACAGGGTGGGTCTTAACCCGCCTCAACCTTAGCCCTGTTTTGCGCATTGCTGCGTCGCAGGGCATGTGCTGCATGCATTTCAGCGCGGCTCACGGATCCGTCGTTGTCTGTATCAGCCTGGCGAAGGCGTTCAGCCGGGTTGGGCATTTCACTTGGCGATAACAGAGTATTCTGGTCTTTATCCAGTTTTTTGAACATGGCACGTTTCTGCGCCAGTACTCTGGTCTCACGCAAATCAGCGCTGTGATGCTCTTCTTTGGAGATAACCCCGTCACCGTTGCTGTCCAGAAGGCTAAACATTTCTGCTTCAGTTGCTTCGCGCAGCGCTGCTCTTTGTGCGTGTCGAGGTCCGCCCGGGTGACCTTGTTTGCGTCCGTCAGCATGTCGAGTGCCATGTTTACCCTTGTTTTGGGGCCGCTGTGGCTTGGCCTGTTCAAACTCTGACAGATCGATGCTGCCGCTCTGGTCGGTATCAATTTTGGTAAAACGTTCCGCAGTTTTACTTTCCACCTCCGCGATTGATATCGGAAAACGCTCTTGTCCTGGAGCGGCAAACGCCAGTGCGCTGATGACAACGCCGACGGGTACTATGCTCCACCTGATTGCTTTCTTGAGGCGTCTGGTTTTCTCTGCATGTGTAGAAGTCTGGTTCATTTTCTATTCCTTAAATCAGAAAGTTATGTTCCCGTCATTTACTTCTACGCGGATCGAACCAAAACCCGTCGCCTAGGTTTCATCTTTTTTATACTGCACATCGACAATGGCGTAGTGGATCGGCGTAGTGGCTTCGGTGGGTTTGGTTAATATTCTGGCAGGACCACTGCTGCGCTGCGGTTCAATGGTAATCTCGTCATCGACAGCTTTACCGATTAATGCGCGAGCTAAGGGGGCATCCACGCTGATATACGCGGGTGCCGCATCAAACTCATCCGCGCCGACAATGCGATAGGTGTGTTTTTCTCCGGTTTCGCTTTCCAGGGTGACCCATGCGCCAAAATAGACACGAGATTGATCCGGTGGCAGGTTCTCGATGACAGTCAGATCGTCCAGCCGGCGGCTTAAAAAACCAATTCGGCTGTCAATTTCGCGTAACTGTTTTTTGCCGTAAATGTATTCCGCATTTTCAGACCGATCACCCTGTGCCGCGGCTTCTGAGACTTTGCGTGTGACTTCGGGTCGTTTCACTTTCCACAGGAAAGTCAGCTCCTCTGACAGTTTTTCATAGCCGCGGCGGGTGATATAGGGTGAGCTTTTTGGTCTTGGTGGACGATATCGGGACATAAATGGGTTAAGTACTTGTGGCGTTAAAGGAAAAGCAGGTTAGTCAGAATCAGTCTAAACCAGGGATTATGCAGGCGTATACTCAGATGATGCCATGGGTTTTCAATCGGCGGCAGAACTTCAGTCCCGAAGATTTTATCCCATAGCTTTTTATCCCATAAAGAGGGGGGAATCTGATGAGGAGACTTTACTACGTAGCCGACTCTGTTGAGGTGACTCATGATGTAGCTGACGCCTTGCATGCATTAGGCATAGCCCGCTTGCGTTTACATGTACTTTCAAGAGATGAAGCTGGGCTGTATACCCACAACATCCATTCCGCGAATCCCATTCACCAACTTGATTTTCTGCATACGGCTGGGCGTTACGCCTTGATCGGATTGTTAGCAGGGCTGCTTCTGGCGGCGCTGCTTATCGGTGCTTTCAATATAGGCTGGTTGTCCCTGGATATTGGTGTGCCGGGAACCCTGGTGCTGGCGGGTATCGGCTTGTGTTTTGGTGCCTGGGAAGGCGGCATGATTGGATTGAGCCGAGAGAACTACAAGATCGAGCGGTTTCATGACGATATTGAAGCGGGCCATTATTTAATTATGGTAGATGTTTCCAGGCAGCAGCGGCCGCTGGTCAAAGAGCTGATGAACTTTGATTTCCCACAGGTGCCTTATCGTGGTGGTGGCACGCGCAGCATAAATATCTGGGACAAAGCCAAGGTCACTCATCACCAGACTACACACTAGCGTTGAGGTGCTTTAGCGGGCCAGCAGCTCAAGCAACTGGCTTTGATCACGCGCGATGCCGTGCTCGGTGATGATGCCGGTTACCAGGCTGTTGGGCGTGACATCAAAGGCCGGGTTATAAACCTTTACCTGGGCAGCATGCTGCTGGCGAATTTCATCAGCGGCGCGTTCTTCAATCACAACCTGATCACCAGATGCAGTGTGCACATCGAAAGTTGACGAGGGGCACGCTACATAAAAAGGTACGCCAAAGTGCTGGCATAAGACTGCCAGGTTAAGGGTGCCAATTTTGTTCACAACGTCACCGTTGGCGGTGACGCGGTCGGTGCCAACAATCACCAGGTCCACGCCTCTGGTTGCCATCACCGTTGCCGCCATGTTGTCGCAAATCAAGGTTACGTCTATACCCGCCTGATCCAGTTCCCATGCAGTGAGGCGAGCGCCTTGATACAGCGGGCGGGTTTCATCGACATAAACATGAAACGGTACGCCGGCATTTTGCTGGTAATACATTGGCGCAGTAGCTGTGCCATACCGTGAAACAGCGAGAGAGCCTGCATTGCAATGTGTCAGCAGGTTGGCCCCGGGCTGGATCAGGTTTGCGCCATGTTTACCGATGCCCTCACAGATAGCTATGTCTGCGGCGTGAATGTTCTGTGCTTCTTCAACCAGCGCCTGGTAGCGTGGATCTTTTTTACCAAGCTCAACCAGCTGTTGCGTTGCCCAGGCAAGGTTGACGGCTGTTGGTCGCGCGGATTGCAGATAGGCTGCGTTTTCTATCAGTTGGTTAATGAAGTTTTCAGACGGCACTTCACGCATTGATTCAGCCAGGGCGTAGGCTGCGGCAACACCAATTGCAGGTGCGCCGCGTACAGTCAGTGTCTGGATGGCGTGCCAGGCGTCATCCAGGGTGTTGATGTCCAGATAAACAGTCTCCTGGGGCAGCTGGCGCTGGTCCAGCAGGCGCAGATGTTCGTTCTGCCAGATGAGCGTTTCGGGAAGGTTGATGTTCATTTTTTGTCTAACGATTCACTATTGTCTGATTTATTGGTGCTGACTTCTTTTCTCTGCGCGGCGCGCGCCTTTGCCAGATAGGTGATTAGCAAATTACCGCACTCGACCGGCGAATGGCCACAGGCGAAAATACCGTCTTCGTGGCCGGCGGTTGCAAAAGTAAGCGGCCGCGACTGATTGTTTTCCATCAACTCGTTAACCGCCTGGATCATCGCTGGTGAGCCGTAGCTGACGTCTGCCGGTGTTTCGGGTAGTCGCAGCGCGGCGCGATGCTGCCAGATCACCGTGCTATGGACATGAAATACACAACGAATGCGGGTGTCAGCTGCGTAGATCATGGCGTGGGTCAAAGATTCTGAAGAAGGTGGCTCGCTGCCAATCGCATCTACCCAGAAACGCTGCAGGTTGCAGTGAGTGATTTTCACCAGGTGCTCTGCCAGCAGCGCGGGTTCACCGCTGGTCTGACTGGCGGTAATCGTAAATTGATCCTGTGATTGATCACGCAGACTCAAATTCCCGTAGGCGTAGCCACCGTATTTTTCGGGTGTTTGTCCTAAAAGCGCCAGTTCACACAGGATGGATCGCCAGGCATCAAGGTCTGCAAAGGCTTCAGGGGATAGATCTACCCCATCACCGGGTGTGAGTTCATAGGCAAATTGAATGGTCCCTTCAATCTCCGACACTGATTACAATTCCTGAGTTGGAAAAGGCGTAGCATGCCACGTTTGGTGCGCTGCGTAATTGTGCTCTGCACATCCAGTTAGGCAGTCAGGGGTCTCTTGCCGGTGAGAACACCCGGTTTGATAAATAGGAAATTCGAAAATGAAGAGCGTGTCGATTAGAAAGGTGGGGGGCGCCCTGGGGGCGCTTGTAGAGGGTGTGGATCTGGTCCAGATTCTGGATTCTGCAGAATCTGTTGCCGAGCTGCGCCAATGGGTCATAGAACATCAGGTTGTGTTCATTCGTGACCAACACATGACACCTGCGCAGTTCCAGCAACTGGCAGAACATTTTGGTGAGGTGATGGATCATCCCGCCTATGGTGCGGTGGCAGGCGCGCCAGCCGTCCAGGTGTTAGAGAGCACGGCAGATGCCCCGTCAAAAATAGAGTTGTGGCATTCGGATATGACGTTCAGTGCATCGCCACCCAGTTTTACGCTGCTGCATGGGCAGATTATCCCCGCTTATGGGGGCGATACACTCTGGGCAAGTTCATTAGCGGCCTATGACAGTTTGTCAGCGCCTATGAAGGAATTTCTGGATCCGCTCATGGCCGGGCATGATTTTGCCCACGGATTTAAAGAAAGTCTGGCGGAACCCGGCGGTGCGCAGCGCCTGGCGGACATGGTGGCTGCAAATCCACCGGTACTCCATCCACTTGTGCGTACCCACCCGGAAAGCCGGCGTAAAGGCATATACGTGAATCCTTTGTTTACCACCCACATAGAAGGATTGTCGAAGCTGGAAAGCACGAGTTTGTTGAGCTTTCTGTATGAACATGTCAGAACGGCTGAGTTCACTGTGAGATTGGCCTGGCAGCCGGGTACCCTTGCCATCTGGGACAACCGCAGCACACAACATAAACCGGTAAATGACTTTTTCCCTCAGCACCGCCTGATGCATAGAGTGACCATAACCGGAGATAAACCTATTTAGCGGGCCGCTAAGTATCTTATTTCGATACTATTTATAGGATGATCGCCTGCAGACTAACTTGAAGATACTTTGCTGCGACATTTTGATCAGTAAGGAACGTTCATGAGCACATCCCAGTTTGGATTGTTAAAGCAGCGGCGGTTCGCTGCGCTATTCTGGACGCAGTTTCTCGGCGCTTTTAACGACAACGTTTTTAAGCAGGCGCTGGTTTTGATTTTTGTCTTCGGAGGGCTGATCAACGCCGATACAACCGATGTTTTTGTCAACCTGGCGGCCGGTCTGTTCATTCTGCCCTTCTTTCTGTTTTCAGCCACCGCCGGCCAGATTGCAGACAAATTTGAAAAATCCCAGCTGGTGCGCATCATCAAGGTCGCTGAAATTGTGATAGCGCTGTTCGGCGGCGTCGCTGTGTATCTGCAGAATGTTTACGCCATGTTGGCGGTGTTATTTCTGCTGGGCGTGCAGAGTACGTTTTTTGGCCCTCTGAAATTTTCCATCCTTCCCCAACAGCTTGATAAAAGTGAGCTTGTCGGCGGCAATGCGCAGATTGAGATGGGCACCTTTGTGTCCATTCTGTTAGGCACCATCGTCGGTGGCGTTGTGGCTGCGCAGAATGATGTAGACCTGCTGTTAACCGTCATGGTTGTGGGTGTGGCTGCTGTCGGTTACCTGTGCAGTCGGTTTATCCCCGTGTGCCCAGCGACGGACCCCACATTGAAGATTCGTTGGAATCCGGTCAGTGCTACCTGGTCGATGATTCAGGCGGCGCGTGGAAATAAGTCGGTGTTCCTGTCGATCCTGGGTATCTCGTGGTTCTGGTTGTTGGGCTCTCTGCTACTGGCTCAAATTCCCAATCTCACCAGGGTTTATCTGAACGGTGGCACGACGGTGGTAACACTGATACTGGCGGTGTTCACCATCGCAGTTGCTGTCGGTTCGCTTGCTTGTGAGCGTTTGTCGAGCAATCGTATTGAGCTGGGCATTGTGCCCCTTGGCGCCCTGGGACTGAGCTTGGCGGGTATTGATCTGTATTTTTCGATAACAGGTTTTGCAGCGCTGCAGCCTTCAGAATGGCTGGCGTTCATTGCCGCACCCGGCGCGGTCCGGATTCTGTTTGACATGGCAATGATAGGCTTCTTTGGTGGTCTGTTTATTGTGCCCCTGTATGCGCTCATTCAGACGCGTACCGAAGAAGCGCGTCGCGCCCGGGTGATTGCGGTGAATAATGTGATCAACGCTTTTTTTATGGTCTTCGGTGCCGGGCTTGCCATCCTGATGTTGAGTGTCGTGGGTCTATCTATTGCGGAACTGCTGCTTACGGTCATGCTGATGAACATCGCAGTGTCCATATTCATTTTTCATCAGGTGCCTGAATTTGCCATGCGGTTCATCATCTGGTTGTTGAGTCACACCATGTATCGTGTTGTGCCTGAAGGTCTGGAACAGGTACCCGAAGAGGGCGGTGCGCTGCTGGTTTGTAACCATGTGACCTACGTGGATGCGCTGCTGCTGGCTGGCGCGGTCAAGCGTCCGATTCGATTCATCATGTTTAAACCTATCTACGATCTCCCGGTGCTGAATTTTGTCTTCAGAGCCGGTGGCGCGATACCTATCCAGGGCGCGAAAGAAAACCCAGCGGCCTTTGATGCTGCCTTTGAAGAAATAGCTGAGGCGCTGGCGTCCGGGGATCTGTTATGCATTTTTCCGGAGGGCGCACTGACCCGTGACGGTGAAATCGCGACTTTTCGTCGTGGGGTGGAACGCATTGTCAGTGAAACACCCGTACCGGTTGTGCCCATGGCTTTGCGGGGTTTGTGGGGTAGTTTCTTCTCCCATTCAGGTGGTGTTTTTAAGAATCCAAGTCGCTTCTGGAGCCGCATATCCGTGCGTGCAGGCCAGCCGGTTCCCGCAGCCGAAGTGACTGCCGAGCGTTTACAGCAGGACGTTGAGCGCCTGCGCGGGCAGTTTGCCTGAAAAGACTACAGAGACTTTAAAAACTCGATCAGCTGATGTGCCTGCCGCGGCGTGAGGCTGAAGCTCGGCATGTGGTCGGCAGCCGAATTCTGGTAGTGATCAAGAACCTGCTCGAGTGTCTGCAGGCTGCCGTCGTGCATGTAGGGGGCTGTGTGGATTATGGCGCGCAGGGTTGGTGCTCTGAAGGCTGTGTTGTCGCTGCCAACACCGGTGATATGAAACGCGGGTTCTGTCTGTACCTGGGTGTGTGAAATCGGACCGGAAAAGGTGAGTGCAGCGTGGCATCCACTGCACCCCAGTTTTTCTGAGAAAAAAAGCGCCATGCCTGCATAGGCATCTGCACTCAAGGCGGCTCTATTGTCATTGAATAACAGGTCGTCGAACGGGTTTGCCGGTGGCCGCAAGGTGCGAACATAACTTGCAAGGGCCTGGATAACACGACTCGACGTGATCTGGCGATCGTTAAAAGCGGCTTCAAAAAGAGTCGGATAAGTGTCGTCTGCCTGCAGCAGAGTAAGGCCCGCTTCGGTAAAACCCATCTCTACCGGGTTTGTATTGAACAACGGTCGACTGTGCTGGGCTTCAAGGCTGAGCACACCCTGGTCGGTCCAGCCGTAACTCGAATTGTAGGCAGTGTTGTACAAAGTAGGCGTGTTAAAGGCGAGTTCCTGCCCGAACATGTTCATCGCGCGAGGCAAACCATCGGTGAAATGTTGTTCAGGTTTGTGGCAGCTGGCGCAGCTATAGGTCTGGTTTACAGACAGGCGTGTGTCGCTGAACAACAGCTCTCCCAGCTTCGCTTTCTGCGGGGTAAGGAGATTGTTATCTGGGATTAAAGGCGCGGGTAAGACGTCAACGGGCGCCTGTGCCAGAGCCGGCCCTGCCAGGCTGAGCAGCAAAATGACCCTGCTGCACAGCTTCACCAAGTGCGGGTATTGTTGCTGGATAAATCGCTGGTGATTTTTGCCAGCCGCTTACGCTCTTCTACCCATTGGGCGAACGCCTGGGCGTCTTCAGACAGGTTGTCGCCGTTGGCCTTATGCCATGTGTCGATAGAGCTCATGAGCTGGTCAGCAAGCCTGGGTTCTTCGCGGAACAATATCATGTATGCGCGCTGGGTTTTGTCGTACATGCCCAGTGCCAGATAAACCTCGGCTCTGTATTCGGTGGCCTGGTGAAAGTCGGGGTTGATGTCCAGGGCGTAGTTGTAGGCGCCGATGGCTTTGCGGAAATCGCCGGTTTTGCGCAAGGCATAACCCAGCTCATTGGCGGCGCGATAATTCTGCGGATCCAGCTTCAGCGCTTCACCTTGTTTTGTCACCGCTTTGCCGAATGCTTTGAGGGCTTTTTCTTGCAGGTTTGTGCGGGCCTTTTCCGTAGATGCCGCAGCGGCCTTGGCCTCCAGTTTTAATCCTCTGTCCCTGTGTTTAATACCGGTCTTCAGCGCTTTAGCTGACATCTCGACAGGGTCCTGACCATCGGTGCTGTGATCTGCCACACTGCCAGCGCCTGAACCGGCAGCGACTGCAAACATTGTCATCAGTGTAAAAATGCAGGCGCTCAGCGCCGCAGCGAAATGATGGGCTTGGATATTTGGAATTTTCAATGGGCTGTCCTGCCGCGCTTCAAGGCTGCGTTGATGGAGGTTTGAGGATATGCTCTCGTTCCCAGTTTTTCCATGGTTGTAAATCATGTTCAAAAAGACATTTATTATTGCTTGTCTGGTGGTCTGGCCGTTGAGTCAGGTGTTTGCTGATACCACCGCAACAAAAGCCATGCAGACCGATGCCGCGGTTAAATCCGCACGCACAGTCATGGACAACTTCATGACCCATTTCAACGCCCGTGATGCAGTGCGTTGGGCTGACACGTTGCTGTTTCCCCACGTGCGTATTGCCAGCGGCGGTGTGACTGTGACGCCGACGAAAGCTGAGTTTGTCGCAAATATGGATTTTGCGGCGTTTGCTGAAACATTCAACTGGAGCCATAGCGCCTGGGATAACATCGAGCTGATTCAGGCAGGTCCGGATAAGGTGCACTTCAAAGTGCAGTTCTCGCGCTTCAACCCGGCTGGAGAACGCTATGTGACTTTCGATTCCCTCTATATCGTGCAGCGTGAAGGCGATCGCTGGGGCATTCGCGCGCGGTCGAGCTTTGCGCCCTGATGCAGCCTTTCTACGATGATCTTGATAATCACCTGCAACACACATCGGATCTGGCCCAGGCGAGCGTACCTATGGGCATGCTGTTAGCCTGGTGTGCCAGGATGCAGTTATTGAGCCCAACCTTTTTGCAGGAACATGCGCAGCTTGTGTTGCGCGTACAGGTGGAAGAAGCGCTGGGCAGCGAGCTGCTGGTGGCCGCGGGTGGGCGTCTGGATAAAGCCTATTTCAGCAATCAAGGGCAGTCGTTTCTGGATCGTTTCTATCCAGGCTATTTTGACCTTTTCTGCGCTGAATTTGGTGATCAACCTTACAGCGTGAAAGATAGCTGGGATAACTATCGACGCTTAGCGCCGGTATTGACCCAGGCGCTGATGGGCAAAGCGGTTGAACCGAAGAGCGGGATGTTCAGTCGTCTAACACAATTTTTAAGAGGTTGAGGGTGGCTTTCAAGTTGCGGGAAATCGAAGTGTTCAAACCCTACAGTACCGAAGTGCCGGAGGACCTGCTGTGGTCGATGGATTTTTCGGAACAGGAGGTCGATCGCTGGCTGAACTCGGATCTGCTGCGTGTTGCCAAGCTGGGTGAGCAGGTGATGGGTGTGTATGCAATGGATGTTGCTGACAGCGTTACCTACCTTTTACATGGTGTTGTTGTCGCGACCCGTGCACGCAAGCAGGGTTTAGGTCGCTGGTTAGTTGGCCATGCGTTGGGTGTTGCGGAGTCGAAAGGTGCTCGTGGCGTTCTGTTTCCTCACTCGACACATAGCCGGTTTTTAGGTGGCATCGGATTTGTTGGTGTGGACGCGGGTCAACGCTTCGATATGTATCAGGAATAAGTATGGATGACTCTCCCACGCGGCCCTATGACGAATACATTGAGTATCCGCTGGGCGAAATGCGTAAGCGTGCAGAGGCCTTTGCCGGGGATGTTTCTCGACGTCGCTCGGTCCGCAGTTTTCGCAACACGCCTGTGCCTCGCGAAATCATTGAACAGTGTATTGCAGCCGCGGCTGCAGCGCCGTCCGGGGCGAATCGTCAGCCCTGGCATTTTGTCGCGGTGGCGAATGCTGAAGTAAAAGCGAAAATTCGTGTTGCGGCTGAAGCTGAAGAGCAGCGTTTCTATCAGGAGCGCGCGCCAAAAGAGTGGTTGGATGCGCTGGCGCCGCTGCAGACGGATGCACACAAACCTTTCCTCGAAGATGCTGCCTGGTTGATCGCGGTGTTTGCCCAGCGTGTGCTGCCGCTGGCGGATGGCACCCAGACGAAGAATTACTATGTGCCCGAAAGTGTTGGCATAGCAACAGGCTTTCTGCTGGCTGCGTTGCACAATGCAGGTCTGGCAACGCTGACCCACACCCCCTCTCCGATGACGTTCCTGCGCGATGTGCTGGATCGACCCAAGTCAGAACGGGCTTATATGCTGGTTGTTGCCGGCTATCCGAAGGACAACGTCGAAGTGCCCGATATCCAGCGCAAGGCGTTGCAGGAAGTGGCTGAATTCCGGGTGTAGACCCCGGAATTCAGCAGTCATCCTAAGATGGACTAAGCAACACCACCGCGTACCAGTTTGCCTGGCAGCGCACCGGTGTGTTCATTGTCTTTGAAAATCGGCTGGCCGCGTTTGATGATGTGCCGGTAACCGTCCACTTTCTGTACCAGGCGTTTGCCACCGGTAGGCAGGTCGTGAATTGCTTCAGGACGATGCAGGTTCAGCGCTTCAAAATCGATGATATTGATGTCCGCCAGATAACCTTCCTGCAGCAGTCCACGGTCGAACATGCCGTAAGCCTCTGCGGTATCGCGGCTTAATTTGCGTACCAGGAATTCCAGGTCAAACTGCTCACCTTTTTTCCGATCCCGGGCCCAGTGGCTGAGAATGAAGCTGGGCATGCCTGCATCTGCAATCACGCCACAGTGCGCGCCGCCATCTGATAAGCCGAACAAGACGTTGGGGTGGCCCATGGAGACTTTGAAGAAATCAAAGCTATAGGTTTGATAGCCGCCCAGAGGCTGATAAAACAGCTCTTTGCCGTTGTTATCCACCAGCAGGTCGTACATGACTTCAAATGCGTCGCGTCCCTGTGCTTCGGCAATACCAGCCACTGACGCTTCTTTGTTGGGTTCATAGTCAGGCTTGTCTCCCAGCGGGAAAACCTGCCACATCAATTCCCGCAGCGAGCCGGTCAGCGGCATCGGCCGATCACCGTCCACTTCACTGAGGAGCTGAGCTTTCAGCGCCGGGTCAGACATGGCGCTGACCAGTTCGGGCAAGGACAATTCGGTAAGGGTGCTCTGGAATGTCGGCGTGGTGGCAAACACATGGAAGTTGGACTGCAGACCATGCAGCACGCCGGTAGGACGGCCGGCAATCTGGGGCCGTACTTCGAGCCCTTTGACCCGTGCAGCTTCAGCAATGTTGTACATCTTATTGCCTTCGAAAGCCGCTGGAGATGTGGCCACCAGAGTAATGGGGCGGCCTGTTTCTTCGGCAAAAGTCTGTATCCAGGCCCATTCATCGTCATCGCCAAGGTGGTCGGACACCAGCTCAAAGATACCGTGATCGAGACCTCTCATCGACAGTCCAAGCGACAGCATTTCATCACTGCCGGCAAAGGTGCCAGGGACATGAATGCCGTGTTTGTCTTTGTGCAGCCAGGTGCGTGAACTGGAGAATCCCAGCGCGCCGGCCTGGATACCCTCGCGTACCAGTGCCTGCATCTGTGCCAGTTCATCATCAGTGGGCAGGTCGTCCTGGGTGTTACAACGTGCGCCCATGACATAGGCGCGAATGGCGCCGTGAGGTACCTGGGTCGCCACATCAATAGTGCGGGCTTTG